AAATAAATGCCATTTTATTGAAATTCTTGAACTTCCCTTTTCCCAGTTCTTTTGATGCTCCTGGGTTTATTTTTTAGCTCTGTATGATCCAGTGTACTTGGCATTGTCAAGAGAAAGCTATTCAAATTTTATTCAAATAGAAACCAGTAGCTCAAAGATAAATATTTCCTAAAGGCATCTTCATCCCTCCTTCTGTAAGTTGTTGAGATCTTTTATCTCTGTTAATACTGCCTGGAGCTCCTGTCAGAACAAGACCAGGACATACAAGGTAATTAAGTCAAGGTGTCCAGCCTGAGACAGACAGGGACTGAGTAGCTGGAATGCAAACAAGCCCACAGATGTGGGCCTTGACATGCCAGGTCTGTTTGCCCACATGTAATGCACTTAATTTGGGGCAGCTACGTGCAGCAGCCCTGGCTGTGTCTGCTCCTTGGCACCCTCTCTGCAGACATTGCTCGGAGGAGAGATAATTCAATCCTCCTCCTCCATCTGTCTGTGGCACGTGGAGGAACCTGGCTCAGCACCTTCACCAGCACCTGCCCTCAGCACGTGCCTGCTCTGTGAGGGAGTGGGAGGCTGGAGCTGCACAGGCAGTGGGGAAAGCAGCTGGGAATGCACAGAATTCCAGAGCAGTAGCAGAGCTGGCATCGGTGTTGAAAGCATTGGTATTAGTACTGCCTTTGGGTTGCAAACGCTGTTGTCTACAAACTTAAATGTTGTCAAACAAAGAAAAAAGCCAATTTCTGTTTGTTTTCCCTTCTGCCAGCTGCGGGAGCTAAAGCAGCTGTGGGGTGGCTGGTTTGCATTCTCCGTCTCCTAATGTTTCTCTTCTAGACACTGGTTTGGGGCTCTTCAAGAACATGTACTGAGTTGTCCTCGATCTTACAAAGCCAGCACATGAATGTTGTTTCATATGGAAATGAATGGTTGCTTTTCAAACCTTGCTTTAATTGCAAAGATCAAAACCTGTGCTGAGTGGAGCCGAGGAGCTGCCCTGCTTGGCAATGGTGAGCATTCCCTGGAATACGTGCTCCTCTGGAAGCTAAGCAGCTCTTGCAGTATGGCTGGTTGATTGTGCCACACTCTGACACATTTTGCAGAAAATCTTTTATCTGTTGTTGTTTTATCCTTCCTGGGATAGGGAGAGTCCTGACCCTTTTCCCTCAGTAGCAGCAGCCCCTGGGACAGGAAGCTGCAGTGCCCAGCCGGGAGCAGCTCTGCTGCTGCACCTACTGTGGCACTGTAGGTGCTCCTGTGCCATGGAAATTAGTGCCTGCTCTGGGAAAGGGGCTCTTTGCCTGGAGGTGTTTGGTATTTCTGTACAGCCTAGGAATTGGACTGGGTACAATGGAAAGTAATAGTATAAGGTACAGCCTGCATTGGGGGCTGACAGAAACATGAGCCTTGCCCACAGAGGTGACTGAGCACTGCTCAGCAGCCAGGGCTGCCCTGCCCATCCTGGTGGACAGGCACAGACAGGAGCAGGGCAGGGAGGGGACCGGGCAGAGCCTGTCAGCCTGAACACATGGAGGTGTGTCAAGTGCTGCCATACTAAATGAAACGAGACAATCTCAAGCACAGATGGAATATTTTTTTGCTCTTTATTTCATGCTTTATTCCATATGGATCATTCCTCCCTACAAACATGGTGTTTGGTGTCAGTTAAGCAGACCCTGGCCTATATTTCACGTGTATTTTATTTACTCCTTTGCACAAGAACTATCTGATGATGTCTCACCTGCTTGCCTATGGCTGTGTGGCCAGGCTGGTGATTCTGCAGTTTGTGACTTTCTGTACTTTTGAAATCATATCCTCAGTATGGCTGTTGTTGAATAGAGAAAATTTCAGATATTAATATTAATGAATGGATTAAAATACCAGCTGAGGGTTCTCCAGTCATCCCCATGGCTTTCAGTGGCTCTGAGTAGAACCATGTGGCTCTGTCCCCTTGTGAGCTGGGTGTATCAGCCCTACATGCTGTTAGTGCTATGTCAGGCCTGGTCTCTCATCTTGTCATCAAGATACCAAGATGTGACAGCTTGGTACTGTGAGGTATTAATGCCTTCACATCATCAGTGCTCTGGCTGTATGATCTTCAGAATGCTAGAGGAAGTCCACTGAATCTCTGGTCATGGTTGTGGCATGTGTGCCAGCTACCACATCATACTCAGAGCACTGATCCAGAGTGGCATATCTAAGCACACTGCAAGGGTATTTTATCTCAGAAGGAGCCATGTTCTCTATGTGCTGGTCACAGTTTGTATGTTGAAAAGCCTCCTGAATGCCACTCTTCCCAAAGGTCTATTGGCTGAAGCCTGTTTCCTGAGCAACAGCCATTTCTTACCCCCAGGGATGTGTAACTCAGCATGGCATGGTGCAGCTGCAGCCTGAGCTGGTGGTAAGGCTCACCTAAGTGCAGGGGACTGCCCAGCACTCAGCTCATTTAATCAGCTCCCCTCCATAGGGGTGGCCAAGTGCTGGGCTCCAGTCACCCCCTCACCCTGTCACTGCTCTCCCCCTCCTGCAGCAGGGAGGAGCTGAGCTCAGCTCGGGGTCTGCACAGGCACAGGTCACTGCAGTTGGACTCCAGAGTAAATGGATGGGTTGTGCACAGGTGGATTGCTCAAACAGCAGCACAGCTCTTTTCTGGCAGTAACCAACACCCACTGTCACCCACAGCCTAGCTGCTGCTCTGGGCTGAACTCTGATAGCCCAGTTTGGGAAAATACACACTTTTACATCCACTCTCTTCCCTCCTCTAGTCATCACAGCTTTATGTTAAAAAGCTAAAACCTCTAGATTACTGAGGGTGCACCCAATCCCTTCATCCAGATCATGGGTAAATATATTCATAAAATCACAGAATATCCTGAGTTGGAAGGGACCCACAGGGATCGAGTCCAACTCCTGGCCCTGCACAGGACCCTCCCCAAAAGTCATACCCTGTGCCTGAGAGCACTGTCCAAACCCTCCTGGAGCTCTGTCAGCCTTGGTGCTGTGTCCACTGCCCTGGGGAGCCTGTTCAGTGTCCAACCACTCTCTGGGGGAAGAACATTTTCCTAATATCCAACCTCAGCCTCTCCTGAGACAACTCCAGGCCGTTCCCTTGGGTTCTGTCACTGAGGAGAGACCAGTGCCTGCCCCTCTGCTACCCCTCATGAGAGGGGGGGAATACTCAACCCTATTGTCACCAACATCAAGCTCTTGGCAGTCAAAGCACTCCCTCACATACAGAGCCCCCCCATCACCTCTCCTTCCATGCCTGTCCCTTCTGAAGGCCATCCACTGCAGCACTCCAGTTGTGAGTCATCCCATCATGTTTCTGTGATGGCAGCTGTATCCTAGTTTTCCTGCTACACAGGGTTGTCCAGCTCCTCCTGTTTGTTGCCCGTCCTGTGCATTGGTGTAGATGCACTTCAGTTGGGTTGATCCTGCCATGTTTTTGTGGGGAGAAGCTCTAATTTTTACATGACCATTCTCAGGCACTTCTGTGGTTTCTAACACATCAGTAACCCTTTGTGTCTTTGCTGCCCCGTGGATCTCCATCCCCTGCCTCCAGGGAGATATATATAATATCATTCCACTGCATCCCACCTAGCTCTAGCTGCACACTGGCTGTGTAGACAAGTGGGAACCTCTCACCCTCTCCTTCCCCATCATCCTGTTATTTTTGTCAGAATGGAAACACTGCATTAAGCTGTTTCTGGTTCAGTGAAGGGCCATTTGCTATCCAAAGGCAGACTGCATTTGAATTTTCTTTCAAATGCCTCGTTAACTCTCTTCTGATTTACTCAGCGCACGATTATCCTGACGTTCTTTTACAACATGCTTCTGTCTCCTTTGTGGAGAGGCACAACCAGTAACCCAGATAACTGCGGGTGACTGAGCAGCCCAAGGTGTGGGGATAGTCCGTGTTTTATGTGCTGTGGTGACACTGCTCAGTGCTGGGAGGTATACCAGGGACAGTGGGGTTTGTACAGCTTTCCTCTTTCTCCCTTGAGCCTCATAGACTGTCTTTACATTGTCTTCCCGTAGTTCATCATTGCACCATTTTCCTGGAGAAAAACAGGGCTTCACTGCCACTCCACAACGGCCAAGTCCTTTTTAGCAGGACTGCCTTCCTGGGGAAATCCTTGGTGTTCAGACAGTCTCAGGCCCCAAGAATTCTGTGCATGTGCTCTGTAGTTGTTGAAATCCAAAGGGGACTGACCTGATACACTGGTGGCATCAGGCAGGCACTCCTGCTGTAGTGGCCAGCAGGACCAGCCCACAAATACACTCCTGTAACTTGGCTACACCAGAGCTGAGGTGTGAATGGTCAAGAACAGCATCAGGCACAGCAACACTGTGCTCAGGAGCCCCCTTTCAGCTTCTAGCCCTGGGAGGGTTGGTGTTGGTTTGTTTTTGTTAATTGTTGGGGGTCCTGGTTTTCCTAGAGTAGGGCCTTTGTGGGGCATGTAGTAAATAACGGTTTGTTCCTCAGTATAATTGCTTAAACTCTCCAGGAGACTCATTCTAACCAGCTTAACTGCTAAGTTTAACCACTTTAAATAAAGACTTCAGTCTCTATCCATCCCAGAGTAGCTCTGAGGCCTCAGAATGCTTTCTGCTCTGAAGTATGTCTCTAAATATTGGTGCTCAGGGTTTGATTTCAAGGCTTTCAAAAGCAGGGCTGTACTGGCAGCACCAGAGCATCTCCCACAAACGAGATACCACTGAGCCTTGTTTGCTGGCTGAGGCAAAGTCACCAGTATGAATTCCAGAGCATCAAACTTGTGTTTTTTATGATTATGTTTTTCCTGTGTCCAAGTGATTCTGAACAAATGCTGTTGAGAGCAGGGTCAGCCAAAGCACCTGCCAGACGAGCCCCAACTCCTTTCCATGCTGCTCATGGGGAGTACACAGATCCCAGCATGTGGCTGGTGGTGCCAAAGCTGCAGCCACTGGGCACACGGTGTTGCTTTCCTGGAGGGACTGACAGTGTGACTTGCTCTCCCCAGCTCATCAGCGATGGCAGCGTGGTGTACGCAGAAGCCCTGTGGGACCACGTCACCATGGATGACCAGGAGCTGGGATTCAAGGCCGGCGATGTCATTGAAGTGATGGATGCGACCAACAAGGAGTGGTGGTGGGGGAGGATCCTGGACAGTGAAGGCTGGTTTCCAGCCAGCTTTGTTCGGGTAAGAGCTTCATCTTTCTTTGTGCCTCTCCATTAGCATCAAGTGTTTTTTCTTTTTCTCGGTGTTTAATGTTCTGTGGTGACTCCTTGAGCACTTTCACTGCAAGAGACAATTGCTTCAACATTACTGTTACTATTCTGTTACTTCAGAGTTTGGATTGACAAGAAGCTGAACATGAGCCAGTGTGTGCCCAGGTGGCCAAGAAGGCCAATGGCATTGTGGCCTGTATCTGGAACAGGGTGGCCAACAGGTCCAAGGAAGTGATTGTCCCCCTGTACTCAGCGCTGGTGAGGCCACCCCTGGAGTGCTGTGTCCAGTTCTGG